TCTGGAGCCACTAAACATGTTTGCAATTTATTGTAAGGATTTCAGGAATCCAGAAGCCTTGATGATATGGATATATATTTATCTTTTGACCTGATGCCAAGGTTGTAACTAAGTCAGTGGGAGTATTACATCTGAAATTAGAGAGTATGAGGATATTAGTATTAGAGAACTATCTTTATGCACAGAAGTGAAACGCAATCTCATTCTTATTTCACTTTTGGCTTATAAAAAAAAAACTAGATCGTTATTTTGTAAAACTGGTTTTATAAAATTGAATAGATATGTGATTGCTTCTGGTGTATTGAAAGATGGTTAATATACTATAATCACAAGCTCTTAAGATTTGCAGGATGTAGAAACTAATGTTGCATCTTCTAGATTGAATGTTAAGAGAAAATTTGTTATTCCTGACTCATTGTATTTTTGGTGTCTATTTTTGGGTTGTAATCAATCAAAATGAGATTTAAGATTGGTTAAAGAAGGTTTATTACCTAGTGAGGCAGAGGAGCCTAAACCAAACTTGTGAATCTTGTTTTGAAGGATAGATAACTCTAAGGGCTTAATCAGCCAAATGAAATAGACAAAAAGAACAATTGGAGTCGGTACACACGTACACGTGTAGTCTTATGAACATCCAATCAAGATTACTCACGTTTTGGATAAATTTACCTGTTGCGACACAAGTCTTATACTTTTGGTATATTCCGAGAGGGTCAAGACTGATGTGGAGCTCAGATTAGGTAAACTTATCAAGACACTTCGATCTGATCGAGTATTTGAGTATATCTTGGGATAGTGCAAAGACTATATGGTCAATGAGGGTGATGTGTACCAGTTTTCCGCAATTGACGCTAAATTAATTTAGGTGTCAAATAGGAATAACAGAATTCCACTTAACATGGTTAGATCTATGATCAGTAATGCCACATTATCTCTTTCATTTAAGAGTTTAGCGTTAATGACATCGATGCGCATTATGAACTGCATTCCATCTTAGTCTGTCTCAAGGATACCGTTGAGCTGTGTTTTTGACTAAATCTTAGTTTGAATCACATGCACATATGGGGTAGTCTTGCACATGTGCGCTTGATATGGACAAGTAAGTTGGAAACAGATCATATGCATGATAGATTTGATAGCTACTCTAAAATGTCACTAGGACTGATTATTTTATGATCTCAAAGATAAAAGTTGATTGTTTTCACTCACTGTTTATCTATAGGAGAATCATATTATGAATCACATACCTAGTAGCATAATGTTAGAGAATTTGGTATGAGTACCAGATGTACCACATGTGAACACACTTATTATAGAGATTGAGAATAATATATGAATTCCCTATTGATGCGTTAGCATCATCTACTACACAGATTCTTGCATCGGTACATTGATGTAGTGGGAGGATTATCATCCAATTCGACAGAATCATGTTTTTAGGTGAGACCATTATGGACATCCCTGTTAAACATGAGTTGGACCTAGTAAGCTACACGGAAGCGTGAACCGATGTGGATACAGATCGTTTTGGTGAGTTACTATGAAATCAGAGTTGGAATCTATGTATTCTAATAAATTCTGGGATCTTGTAGAACTTTCTAATAGGGTGATTCCTATGGAAGGCAAGTTAATCTACAAAAAGATACCAGAAGATTTCTTAGTGAATAAATCATGAGTGTACAAGGGAATGTCATTATTTTTCTTAATTCTATATATTGATGACATCCTACTCATTTATAATGACGTGGAAGTTTTGTCATCAATTAAAAGGTAGTTGTTCAATTACTTTTAAATGAAGGAATTTCAAGATTTAAGCTATATTCCTAGGATCAAGCTTTTGCAAGATCAGGTTAAAAGGAAAATAGGCTTATCTTAATAATCCTACATTGATAAAGTTTTGACCAGGTTTGGTATGCATAACTCAAAGAATGAGTTCTTGCTTTATTGATATGGATCGCTCTCTCTAGTAACTAGTTTTTCAAGACTAGCAGAGGAGATTGAGCAAATGAGACTGGAACAATATGTTTCGGCATATGAGAGTCTCATATATGCCATGGTCTATACCAAACAGGACATCCGCTACATAGTAGGGATAGTCAGTAGAGATCAGTCCAATACTGGACTTGATAACTGGTCTATTGTGAAAAATATCATTAAGTACCTAAGGAGAATCAATGATATCATACTCATTTATGGATGTGATGATATGGTCCTAGTCAGGTATGCTAGTTCTGAGTTTCAATCAGAAGTAGATACTATGAGGTTCATGACTTAGTGTATGTTCACTTAATGGAAGGGAAATCAGTTGGTAGATTGTCAAGCAGATTTCAACTGTTGACTCAAACCTGCAGGTGGAACATATTGCAGCCTTAAAGGTGGCAATATAAGCCTATTGGTTTGATCTCACTGATTTAGAGGTTGTGGAGCATACTAGCCTGCCTATCGAGCTATATTGTGACAATAGTGCAGAAGTAGTCCAAACCAATGACCCAAGGTTCCATAGAGGAACAAGATACACTGAGAGGAAGTATCATGTTCGACATGATATTGTCCGGCAAGAAAATGCACTTGTAGTTAAAACATTGCATTGGAACACAACTTTGTTGATCCATTATCAAAGGTGTCATTGATCAATAATTTTGATCATCATCTGGATAACATTGGAGTTAGGTGCAATTTGAATTGGCTATGAGGGCAAGTGGGAGCTGTTGGGATTTATATGCCCTGGCATAGCAAATTCCTATCTGGATTGTATTGACATATGTTCCTGACATATCTGAAATATTTATGATTTATATAATTGGTGAATTCAATGTATTATGTTTCAATTCACTATGAAATTGATAGTGTCCTGTTAATTACAAGAAATATTTATATATATGTATGTGATGACAATCAATGCATGATATATAAATAGTAATTATAAATTGTTCATAGTCGGTAATTATGGATGGACTCATAATTAATTAAGACTTGAACTGGATCCGCGTTAGGTTGAAATATATTGCGAGAGCCGTCGTATGCAATTACTCCCTATTACCGTCATGGCATTTGACTCTTAAGCATGAGAAAAGTATAGACTCTTTTATTAATTAATAATTACTTTGATTTGTTCGGCGGATTCTTCGGGATCCTTAGACCGACACTTTGGGTAGTTATGTAATTAATAGTTAGAGAGTTATATTTTCAATATTTGCATCATTGCTACTTGTATTTATTTTGTATTGATTATGGTTGATCACAAAGTAAATTCGAAGGCCTTCGTGTGTTTTTAGACAAAATGATTTATTATATATTTATTTATTTAAATTATTATTTTTGTCAAACAAATGTTTTATTGTGATCGAGCCAGAAATAATCAAAGGTACCAAAATAAATATATTAATTAAGTAGTCGGATTGATGGCTATATTTATCCGATAACTAATTATGCATAGAGGGGTCAAAGTGCAATATTGACTTAGAGGTTATTTATTATTTAATTGGAGTTCAATTAATTTCTTTTAGTGGAGTAGAAATTAATTTATGAATTAATTGAATTGGGTCCATGGACCGGGCCAATTATTAATTCATTGTAGCCAATAAAATAATAGGCCCAATGGATTCTCACTCATAGCCCAACTTGATATTGGAATCATATTAGATTTGAGACATATGAATTAGAGATGGAGAAGGATTTGTTGTTTCCTTTTCTTTATTTTTATATTGCCTATAAATATACATGGTCTATGTATATTTTAGGGGGTGATTTTTATGAGAAGGAAAAAGGAATAAATTTTCTCTCTCTAGAAAATTAGGGTTTATGTTCTCATCTAATGGAGGCTCCCACAAGCCTAATTTTCCAAGGTCATTCATGGAGGCATATGAGTGATTCCTAAAGGCAAAACAATTATCAAGAAGATGGAGATCCAAGGAGAATGCATCTAGCAAAAGGGATCTACAATAAGTGAGAACATTCACTTTAGAGGAGAGATCTGAGGTTTACTCAAACCTTGATGTAAGTATTCAATCTTTTAGTTGAATAATACATCATATTTTATTTTATTTTTTGCATAAAACTTGTCTCTATGTGATGAATCAAGATCTATGAATTTAAATCCTTCGAAAAGTTTTTAAAACTAGCACGTTTCCCAACAATAGCACCAGCAAAATCAACAACAAAGAATAAGCGAATTTTGGTCGCCGGCGGCTTGGACAGCCGGTACTTCGCCCGGCCGCCGGTGAGTGAAGGGGAAGAAGGGGAATTTTGGATCTGCGACTTGTAGTTAGAGAAAGAGAATGCTAACAATAATTTCTCTGTATAGAGATAGGGGAGAGAGAAATAGCGTGTGCAGGGTATAGAAGTTATTTTAATTATATAATATTTTCAAATAAATGTGATTAAAAAATTAAGAACAAGCATAGTTTTTTTTTTTTTTTTCAAATTTTTTACTTGTAATGGGAAAGTAAAAATAGTCCTAAATAATAATTATTTTTGAAAAGTGTTTTAAATTGATATTTGATTAAATTTTTGAATGATTAGTAAAATTATTTCATTTATTTTTTGTAATGTAAGTGGTAATTGTATGTACAAAGCCCAAGGATGGGCCCTAGGAAGAGAAGCACCAGGCAACAGGCCCAGGGTGCATAAAATCCAAATAAAAAGGCACTAGGCCTTAATTCATGGAAGCCCATAATTCAAAATCCAACACGGAACTCGAATCCGGTGAAAAAAATTCCCATGTTATACATCCTGATAAATCATTTTCTTTTTAAAACCAACTTGATTTATCATTGGTGGTAGTCTAAAAAAGAATGAATCCAATTTCTTTCAATTTCAAAGTCATCCTTTTGTCCAAGTCATTCTTTGGACAAAATTTCTAACATAATAACCATACTTAAATCTTACATTAGATCTCATTCCTATAGGGCTGCTATGCACAAAATTTGTAGCATAAAAACCATACTTCAATCTTACTTGTGAGGCATGCCATGACGACCGTGAGTGGACAATTCAATAACAAATTCCCCATCAAAAGTGTCTTATAAATACTTGCTCCAACTTCATTCATTTTCATATAACATAAGCAATCTCAAATACCACAACCCACGTCTTCTTCTCCTTCAATCTTCAATCTTTGTTTGAGTCATAACAATGGCTGATGAATTGATTCTCTTGGAGTTCTGGCCCAGCCCTTTTGCACAGAGGGTGAAAATTGCCTTGGCTGAGAAAGGCATAGACTATGAGTCCAAAGAAGAGAACTTGTTGATCAATGGGAAGAGTCCTCTGCTCCTAAACATGAACCCTATTAATAAGCAAATTCCAGTTTTGATCCATAATGGGAAACCGATATGCGAGTCCCTCGTCATAGTTCAATACATTGATGAGCTCTGGAATGATAAATCTCCTTTCTTGCCTTGCGATCCTTACAAGCGCGCCCAAGCAAGGTTCTGGGCTGACTACATTGACAAGAAGGTCAGTTCAACTATTAGCCACTATGAACATGTATTGTTGTAGTATCTTGTAAACTTAATTAATCTTATCAGTGTCATAGCAAATTTAAGTCTTAACAATCCTTTATATGCAGATATTTAGCAATGGAAGGAAGTTAGGTATGAGCAAGGGTGAAACCCAAGAAGAAGCAAAGAAGGAACTCTTAGAGTGCTACAAACTATTGGAAGCAGAGCTAGGAGAGAAGACTTATTTTGGGGGAGAGACCTTTGGTTTTGTGGACATTGCTCTCATACCCTTTTACGCTACGTTTTACATCTACAAGAAACTTGGCAACCTTAACATTGAGGAAGAGTGCCCTCAAATTGTGGCATGGGGTAAGAGGTGCATGGAGAGGGAGACTGTGTCCAAGACTCTTCCAGACCCGTACAAGCTCTATGACTTCTTCCTGGAGCTCGCAAAGATGCTTGGTGGTCTGTAAAATTCCAGAAGATCAAGAACTGCTTTATGAAGACATAATAAGAGAGAGATATAAAACTTATCTCATACAGTTAATTAATTACCATTTGTATTTCTCTCTCTCACTTCTATTCTCTCTCTCTTTTTTGGACTTTAGCTTTGTTGAGATTTGTGTTGTTTTTGTTACATTGACAATAAAGAAAGGACTTCATGTTCTGAATTGCAAATATAAGAAGAAAACACAAGTGAGATGTTCACTTTTTCCATGCTTAATTGAAACAAATTTTCACCATCAATTTGAGATTTATTTATTTATTTTTTATTTTTCAGTTCAAGTCCTTAAACTTATTTTTCAATTCAGTTTCTCCACACTAAGTTTGTTCAAGATGTTGTTTTCGTGGACCACTTTCTAATATTTATGTAGCCTCCACTCCAAACATGCATGGCCAACCTCTACAGACTCCATTTTGCGTTTTTATATTTGCATTTTATTTCTTCTCGAACTAAAGCCAAAAGGTAATTAATAATCAAATATTGCCGTTGCTCAATAAAGGCAGGCATAATTATCTCCATGTAAATTTTTTGTTTTTTTGGGAAAGGTATCTCCATGTAAAATGTTACTTGGGTAATAGGGGTATATAATTTATTGTCCAATTCAGAATGGGATTGATTCCTTACAAGCACTGTATTTAATTGCAACTAGGATCGAATCATGATGAACTAATTAGAAGTATATTAATAGAGGTTCAAATGATCTTTCCATAATCTATTCATGTAACCCACGTAACCAATACAAGAAGGTGAGGATTCAAACAATCGCGAGGCTTTGTAACCTAGTAGTAGTGCATTCTTTTATTTCGTAAAGTGGAAGTTGGGTGTTGGAGTGTGAAGTTTCTTGCCAATAATCTAACAAAAAAAATTTTGGTGGTCCCAAAATAATTGTCCTAATTCAAAATCTAGTTTATTAATATTCTTAATTTATTCTCATTGCCTTAAAGTTATAAAAATATGTGAATTTGTATTGTAATGACCCGAACCCGATGGTCCGAATCGCTAACCAGGTCTTCACCCGAATCCAAGATCGTCTTAGGGCACTATGGTCAATTCTAAGGTCGATACATAATATACGTGCCATCCCAAGACTTATATAAAAAAAGAGATCACAAATACAAAAGATGTCAAAACAGTCCACTAACCCATTCAAACTTATGAAGGAGTGTTGTCCGCCACTTCCTTCCCGTGACCTGAAAAATATAATAATATGGTAAGGTGAGCCAGCCGCTCAGTAGGAGGTGTCTAAGACACACCTCTTAATGACCCCGTGAATCCACACAAAGTATAGGGTAAAAGTAAACGGGATCATGTCAATCGGGGAAAAAACACAACAATGACAACAATATCATTAATAACTACAAAACAGGTCATCCAACCATATGTATACAATGCATGCCAATGCAATGCAATGACATGCCAATGTCGCTCCCCATTTTCGAAACATTTCTGTTTTACCATTCCAAACTGCTAATACAATCCGACCCATAGCACCCCTATGGCGTCGCGAGAGAAGGATTGACTAGCTATTCTCGATCACATGGCACCTCCATGGTGTCGTTCTAGCCTAGGTAGCTCAACCACACTAGGGTGTCTTCCTAGTTTCCTCTAGATCACATTAACGCCATGAACCACTAGGCACCTCGTAGGCGTCCAGGTTTTTCGCAAAACCTTTTCAAAACATTTTCCCTAAAGTAATTTCCATTTATTTTTCAAAACATTTTCCCCTTTTCTTTCCCAATGAAATGCATGAATCCATCATGTTTAATACAATTATGTCACTATATATAATTTCCATCAATTGAAATTAATCATAACATGCCCTCATATAGAAATCTAATTCATTGAACATAGTAAAAACATTTCATACTTTGAGAAACATAAAATTTTAGCAATTTATACACATAAAATGCAGCAATAAATTTTCAATATAGCATACTTCTTCATATCATTCCAAGAAACAAGTAATTTCAATCATTTAGTCATATAGAACACAATTAAACACAAAACCCTTGAAGACGTAGGCAAAATAATTAAGTTAAGCATGCTTATACTCAAATAAAAGGGGAGAAATTCACCAAAATCAAAGAGGTCATGGATTAGAACACCCCTACCTCACTAGATAAAGAAAATTCCAAAATCAGCCCAAAATTTGAAATCCCAAATGGTGGCCAAATGAAACTTTGCTTCTATCAAAACGAAGATCTCGACGTGCTCACCAACTTTGCCTTAAGTGGCAAAATGAAATTCCCAAAGATACACCCTTGATTTAAGCTTTTAGATTGAAGAAAAAGAAAAAGAAAAAGAGAAAGTGAAGAGTGACAGAGAGTGTTGCGAGAAAGAGAGAGGAACATGGTCTGGTGATGACCAAATGTGGTCATTTGTAATGACCAACTAAAGTGGTGGTCCCACAACCTTAATAAAATCAACTTTTTATTTATTTTACAACATATACATATTTATATATAAATTAAACTACAACCACACAATCTAACCTGTAACAATGCATGAAGTGCAATGGACCCGTAACACAACCCCCGTACTCAACAACCCCGGTTGCGGGTAGGGCTGCAAATGAACTGAGCTGTTTATGAATAGCTCGGACTCGGCTCATTAATCTCAGCTCGGATTCATTCGTTTAGTAAATGAGCCGAGCCCGAGCTCAATTTTCAGGCTCGTTTAGTAAACGAGCTGAGCTTGAGCAACTTTGAGCTCGGTTCATTATGCTCTTGAACAAGCTTGTTAAGTAAAAGGGCAATTTTGTAATATCATTCCACAGAGCCCATATTCAGTATTTAAGATGTTTGTAGCCTATACAAGTTTGGTCCAATTCTAACCATCCCATTAATAAGGCCTGAAAACTTGTAATTAAATAGCTCAGGCCCAAAGACTAGTAATTAAATAGCCCATCGATCATCTAAACAAGATTGAATCACATCCATAAATTTATAATCTATCCCAGCCATTGATTTGATAGAGTTAGAAAAAGATAAAAGAATAACCCTAGAAGCACAAGTCTAGCACGTCCTCTTCACTTCCAAAAGATCTTGCCAATGGTTTCCATCATGCCAACACAGAACTCATCTCTCTCTATTGGATCTCAAGGTCGACCGATTAGAATAGTGCACCAATATTGTAGATTAAGGATAAAACCTTAAAAGGTTTGATTTCATTTTAAATTTTGTTCAGTTTTTCTATTTTTCCTTTCTTGGAGTGCAATTTCTTTCTTGTTTGAGATGTATTTTTTCTTTTTTGGAGTGCGATTTCTTTCTTGTTGGAGATGGAAATAAAGATTTCATCAATTCAAGATTTTATTTCTTTCTGGTCGGAGATAGAAATTGGATTTCACGGAAGAGGTAATGGCGATTTCTTGAATCAGTGATTGTTTGGTATGTTACCGATCTCGAGCCGAGCTGAGCCCAAGCACCCCTCTGGAGTTAATGAGCTGAGCCCGAGCAACCCAAAGCTTGGCTCGGCTCGGCTCGATTCATTTGCAGCCTTAGTTGCTGGTCCCACCTAGGACATCCCGGTCCAAAAAATGAAAAATGTCGAAATGGCAACCAATACATTTCTAAGAGTACTGAACTCAAGGAAATGTCCCAACCAACACTCTGACACACCCGGCACATCCCACGGTGTCCGACACGTAAAATAAGATAAGACGAAAATACCCTCAAAAAATCAGGAAAATCTCAGAAAATGAAAAATGATAAAAATCGGAAACATTACATGTATATTTTAAAATTCATTCCCAACCACTATAATAAAAAATAGAGTGAACTATATTAAACTCCCTTTTTCTATTTAAGTTTTACACTAAACCCCTTTTTCATATACGACTAAGATTGATAATGGAGTAAATATATATGTGGGGTATATTAAAATAGATACAGGGGTATTTTTGTCTAAAAAACATATGAGAAAATTCAATATCAAAACACCTCCCATTCAACTAAACTTCCTTTATGTTCTGTTCGGTAGAGAAGAAAAAAATTGGATGGAAGGGAGAGAAAGAAAGGATGGATGATACATCCCTAGGGAAGAGATTATGTATTTCCTTCTTTTTGTTTGTTTGGATAGAAGAGAAGAGAATAAACTTAAAATTTCATATGTTCGTTAAGAGAGAAGGAAAGATAAAATTTTAATTGTTTTTACCATTATATTCAATAATATTTATAATATTGTAATTTATAGAGGATAATACTGTAATTTAAAACTTGTATAATTTAGGATAATGTTTAATTTACAACTTCTATAACAGTCCACTTGTCTTCCCTCATTTCTTTTGCCCATTTTTGGGCGGATGAAAATTTGTAAAGGAGGAAGGACGTATCATCCTTCTTATTTTAATTTATTTCCTTGTATCATTCTTATCAAACAAAGGAAATTTGTTCATTCCTTCCTATTTTCTCTCCACCCCTCTTTCTTTCTTCCTACCGAACACAACATTAATATATTTAGAAAAGAAAGATTTTCAAAAGTATATTTTGTAAAATAAATCCATTAATGTAAAAAATAAAAATAAAAATTCATGGGGGTAAGCATGACCAGCAGCAACCCATGCATAATATCAGGTCATCTCCGAAAAAGGAATACATAATGGTGCATCGGGTGTACGGTGCATCGAGTACACAACACTCGTTCGCACGTGTCCAATACATATAGCTCAAATGAGCCAGTACACGTTGGAGAGAAATTATTAGATGGTCCTGGTCTATTTGACACTTGGTGAACTAATTCAATAAAAACCCTTTGATCATGAAACTTTGTAATTTATTAATACACTCTTGTGGGGCCATTTTTTCAGTCCGAGAGTCTGTATTAACTGGTCCATCAAATGTTAATGGTCTAGAACCATCTAATAATTTCTTGTTGCGCCGGACACACCAAACACCTTCTGTAACGACCCTAAACTGATACCCTAATTAAAAAAAAGTTTGGCATGACCTCCCCTTAAAAGGGGACTACAACCACCTGCTCAAATAAAAAAAAAAAAAAAAAAAATCACAATAGCCTTTCCTGGCCTTTCAAAACACCTCCAACCTGTCCCAACACATAATACAATTAATATACTCCAACATCCCATCCATCCGTTCATTATAACTCAATATGGCTCATCTCATGGTGGAACATCTACATATTGTTTAATCTAAATTATTATAATTACAGTCTCAAAATATAGTTACAATAACAAGAGTTCACAAATCTCTATACGAAATATAACAAATTAAGATTTTACAAAAATATGGGACTTAATACAAAAATAGCAAAAAGAAGTCTTCTAATATAAATTAGGCCTGTGATGGAAAGTCATCCGCCACTTCTTTCCCGTTTCCTGATAAAAAAATATTAAATAATAGGGTGAGCATAAAGCTCAGTAGGTAGCACTTAAGACACGCATCTTGTATTCTTGTGAATCCATACAAAGAATAGATCAATAGGAATGGGGATCATACAATGTCGGGATAATACAACATTTCAACTAAACTCAATTGCAAACAATGCCATGGAATGCAAATGCATGCCGATGTCGCTCCCCATTTTCACATTTGAAAATCATCACTTTCAAACTGTTAATACAACCTGCCCTTTGGTGACCCCGCAGCGGCATGAAAGGAAAATTGGCTAGTGTTCTTGACCCTTGGAACCCCCGCGACGTCATTATGGGGCCCAGCTAGCTCAACCACACTAGGGCAACTCCCTAGTCCCCTCTAGGCTATATTAACACTCCGGCCTTTTGGTACTCCCGCGGCGACCTGGTTTTCATAAAACCATTTCGTAAAAACTCTTTTCCCAAAATTTCCCTTTTGTTTCAAGCAAATTCTTCTATTTCATGCAAACCCAATGGTATGTACATGTATATATCTCCCATGCTTTCAATATTGTGGCATTTAAAATTTTACACCACACAATTAAGTATACATCATATTTAACATCTCCAAATGAATTATCAACACATTAAACACAACAAGACAACACAGAATTTTACACCACAAAATTAAGCATACATCATGTTCAACATCTCCAAATGAATTATCAACACATTAAACACAACAAGACAACCTCTAAGCATGCTTTTCAACTCATATTCATAATCATGAATTTTCTTAAATATCATTTATATAATTATTGAAACAATTAACTTCCAAATTAAACATGCTTGTCACAACAAGAGAGATATAATTCACAATGGAGCAAGAAAAACATGGATTAAGAGCCTCTACCTCTAAATTGAACAAAACCCTTGAAAGGGGTCTCTAAACTCGAATGCACAAATGAGCACCAAAACTGAAATTGTTGGTACAACCGCGTAGAGCTCGTCGTGGGCTTCGTTTTTCTTCAAATGACACTTAAAAACACTAAGAGATGATGGAGAAATCAAGAATGGAAGCTTGTAAAAAAAGAAAAGAAAAAGGAAACCAGAGAATGAGAGAGAGAAGCAGCGAGAGAGAGATAAGCAGCGTAAAAATGGGTCTGTAATGACCCCATGACTTAATAAACAGGTGGGTCCCACAGGTAAATATAACATATATATATAAAGTCAAAAACATTACACTTTCCACATAAATGTGATGCCACACAAGCGTGACAACTGTGATGTACATACTCCCATGATATTTTAAAATCCTATAGATTTGTATAGAGGTGCATTAACTTGTGTAATTATTTAGAATTGTATAAGAGAGGTAAATATTCTAGATATTTTTCATAATATTCTAGAACCTAATTAGATAGCCACTTGTATATATTTTGATCATTCATTATAACGTCATTGGCACATAAATAGGATGGGACCTCATGAAATAAACTTATAAAGTTCTTTTTTTTTTTTTTTTTTTTTTTTTCACTATTAAATTTATGTTGCATGATTTATGGTGAATTTTGAGAGGCGAATTGGGATTGATTTTGATTATTTTGAGTATGTTTCTTAATTGTATAGGTGTGAGACGTTAAATATCTATTTTTAGAGTAAAATAAATCATTGAAGTTTTAATTCAGGATTGAAAGTGCAAGTCTAAAGACGAAACAAAAGTTAGACAAGCAGTCAGTGGCACTAAAGATAAAGTGGATGTGATATTATTGTATTATGAAATATTAAGGGGAGATTTGAAATATGAATTAATTAATATATAAATGTTTAGTTAATTATATTTTGCATCTAACTTGCATGTTTAGTTGAATTTTTTATTTTGGAATGATTAATATTATTTTACAGTTAATAAATTATTAAAAGTGAGTCCTTCTGTAATTTTTTTTTTCAAAGCTTTTGTTCAAGCCTCACTGGGCCTTTGAGCTCACATTTTTCATAAAAACTTTTTAGGTTTTAGCGTGGATGAACCAAACGTGGTACAACGACGAGGGAGCATGATAAGCATGGTTTATAGGATAATTATTCATAGTCTATTTTGTACTAAACATTGTTCAGCTGGAGTTTGGAAACTTTTACCATATAAGTATACAACTGTATATCATGTGTTGTAGAAATGTTGGACAACGAGGAGATCTTGCTGGACCAGAAGGCATTTTACAAATTTCAAGCCTCGCCAAGACTCTTCCAGACCATGTGGCAACCTTAGCATGGGAGGTAGATCGAGTTCCCTAAAATTGTGGCTTGGGCTAAGAGGTGCATGGAGAAGGAGAGTGCGTCTAAGACTCTTCCAGACATTTGGAATTCGCTCACTTCTAATCTCTCTCTTTTGGAGTTTAGTTTCGTGTTTGTACTTTTTTTTAGGTGTGTTCGTTTTGTTACATTTACAATAAATACAGGACTTTATGTTCTGTACTGCGAGAAGAAAATACAAATGAGATATTCACTTTTTTCTTGCTTTAAACAATTTTCCATTATCAATTTGAAACATTCTTGTAATTCCCATATTTTAATTTAGTTCCTCCATAATAAATTCGTCTAAGATTTTCATTCTCTTTGTTTGGAATAACTAGTCTCGATGAACTCCAAAAATCTTTATACATATATATTTTTTTACCCAAGTAATTAAACATTTAGAAATTAAAGTATATTCTTGAGACTTGTCATTTGTCTTTCATATATGTATATTTTTTCAAAGGTATATATATATATATATATATATATATATATATATATATATATATATATTCTTGGCAGTGAGACTATTATGAAAAAAAAGTACTCCTGGATCATTAGACTGAGAATGTTAAATTGATGATGATTACCACTCTTATATAATTTACAATGGGTTTGCAAAAAATTTAATTTGGAGTTTTTTTTGATTGAATTATTGTTTTCGTGAATCATTTCCTACTATTCATACAGCCTCCACTCCAAAATTGGCCAACTTGTGTGTTTATTCATCCGTGCATTTTACTTCATTTCAGATTATAACCATATCGAACATTTATTTCTTTATTTCTCTGTTGTCCTAGTCTTTATAGTGAGAATTGCCTTGTTAGAGAAAAGGGGATTATTGATGTTAGAGGTTGGTTCCATCCCATATCGAACCAGAATGGAAAATGTAACGTATATAAATGGGTTGGGTGCACCTAATATCTTTATATTTTTGGATCAAATCGTGAAACACTAGACTCTTTATAATTAGTATCACAATTTGTCCCATCCCACATCGAGAGTAAGCATTATATGTAATGACCTTAAACTGATACGAATTAAAAAAAAAAAAAAAAAAAAAAAAATTGGCATTACCTCTGCTAAAAACGGTCCTACGCCAACTTGCTTAAATGCATAAAAATGCAATGGCCTCTCTTGCACCTTTAAAATTTATCTAACCTGTTCCAGCACACAATGCAAATAATATAAAACATTCCCAAAACAACATCTACAACCTCCTCAAAATAGTCCATTACCATCAACCCATTCATCCAGAATAAAGGAGTACTTGTCTTATACATAGTTCCATACTCACATACTAGAATTTTACTCCAATTACATCTACTTACAGTTCATGAATATAATTACAATAACAAGAGTCCATAAGTCTCCATACAGAATACAATATACTAAGTTTTACAAAAATAGTGAGACTTGGATACAAAAATAGCAAAATGATCTTCTAATCCAAATTAGGTATGTAGTGGAACGCCATCCGCCACTTCTTTCCCCTGTCCTGAAAAATGTTATAATAATAGGGTGAGCATAAAACTCAGTAGGTGGTGCCTAAGACACACCTCTTGTGACTATGTAAATCCAAACAATGAATAGAAATAGGAAGCAGGGTCAACTATGTCGGGAAAGAATACAACATTACTTTTCAAGTTCAAAAACAAACAATGCTGTTTATGAATGCAATGCCATGTATGTCACTCCCCATTTCCAAAATCTAAATCCATCACTTTTCAAACTGTTAATATAACGCTTCCATTGGTGACTCCGCAACGACACGAGAGAAGGATTGACTACTGTTCCTGACCCTTGGTACCCCCGTGGCATCGTTTGGGGCGCAGATAGCTCAATCACGTTAGGGTGTTTCCCTAATTCCCTTTAGGTTATATTAACACCACAGCCCTTTGGTGACTCTGTGGTGACCGGGTTTTCATAAAAATCACTTTAATCAAAACTTAGTCCCAAAATCACTTTTTCCTTTCAAAACAATTTTCTCATTTTCATGCCCAATGCTATGCATGAATGTCTCATATATCTCAATATTGTACAAATAGAGAAATTCATGCTTATCAAGTTATTATTCAATAATATACATGCTTTACCACATAAAAATTTCTAAAATTATATTTCATGTTTTCTAATCACCAAATTAGCACTAACGACACAAAGGGTTTGCATTAATCAACAATTAACATGCTTCGTAAGAAATTTATTTATTTATTTATTTTATAATTCATGTTTTAGCATCACATAAACATAATAATTTAATACCATAGGCATGAAAATTCATCAATTAAGCATGCTTTCATTATCATATATCACATGAAACATAACCACACCGTTTCACATAGCAAGTAAATAAATTTACATGAAATTTCACAATTTAAGCACACTAAAACATAAATGTTTTTGAAATTAACTCACAAAAGCCTAAAAATATATGGATTAGAGACCCATACCACTTAATTGAAGCAAAGTCCCAAAATTTCCAAATTAATGACCTAGATTCCGAATTCCCTAGAGGGCACCAAACAAGAAATTACTCCGATCAACTTGTAAATCTCGCCGTGAGCTTCAATTTGCCGTAAACGGCACTCAAAAATATCAAGAATTAAAGGAGAAATCCAGATTCAAAGTTTTGGTGGAAAAAAAAAAAAAAGAAAAAGAAAAAGAAAGCTTGAGAGGAAGAGAGATATACCAGCGGGAGAAGAGAGAATTATGAGACCAAACATGGTCTCTTTGGCCTTAATTCCATTAATGGTGGGTCCTACTTCTTTTTATTTTATTTTTTCTTTTTCTTTTATTTTCATTTACACCACATATACATATATACACATTGAATAATTTTCATCACCTTATATAACACATAAAATAAAATAAATATAATGCAAATGGACCCAATTAAAATTTCTATGCACGACAATTCCGGTAACGGGTCCCACACGGGACCGTTCGGCCCGAAAAACGAAAAAATACGAAAATGACTATCCTTACATTTCAAAAAGCCTTGGACTCAATGAAATGCCCAAAACAACTTTCAGACACAACCAGCACACTCCACAGCGTCAGGTACGAAAAACGACAAAAGACGAAAATGACCTTGTTGCGACAAAATTTTTGAAAAATTGAAAAATGGCAAAAATTTGGAAACATCACAATATAATACCAATATATATATATATATATATATATATATATATATATATTACAGACCGACAAACTAATTTTTGGTTTTGTAAAAATAAGATTACACATAAGTTCATAGTAATGACATAATTTTATTAGATACTTCTAGGGAATCCCAACAAAGTTAAAAATATAGAGCAAGTTGCATTAGAAGCAAAGGGTTAGGAAAAAAAAATAATAAAAAAAAAACAAAATATATATTGAAGTTATATTTGACAAGAGTAAAATAAGATGACAATATAACTAACTTAGTAAAATAAGATGACTATATAAGTTATTTAAAACAACAACTTTTATTCTTTATAATCATTTTTTTTGTAGAGATGCAAAAAATTCCCTGGACTATTGCCAAATTGTAACTAACCCTGAACTACAAAAAAAAGTCCTTGAAGTATGAATTTGTTGCACATTTCAGTCCATTCCGGCGACTGATTTAACCGGAAAATTAAAAAGTCTCATTTACCCTTGGACCAAAAGTTGACCGTTCTCTATCTCTCTTTCCCCTCTCAAAACTCAAATTGCAGATATCAAAGAGGAGAGCTTGATTTGGGGAAGCCAACAGTGACCATTGTTGGACATGGGATGGGGTTTGCCATCATACTACAATATACTTAATGGGAATATATATATAAACAATATATATGTATACATTTTAGGAAGGAGCCAGCGAGAGGAAAGGCTGATTTGGGGGAAAGCTTGGCTGGATTGAATCGGCGGCCGGCGAACAAGGGAGGGCTCGACTGTGACGAGTTTGGCTGTGGAGAAATTGGCTGGTGGAGACGATGGCAGAGAGCTCGGATGGCGGAGCTCTGACCGGCGAGGTTGGTGGAGATGGACAGCGGGCAAGAATCGGCCGGCTGTGGGGAGCTTGGTTGTTGGCTCGGTCGTGGAGAGTTGGGGCGGTGAGCAGCATGCTGTGATGGTGAATTCGTGGCGGCTAGCTCGGCTTTGATGGTGTCGGCTGTGATGGAGGTGGCGGCAAGCTCGGAACGGGGAAGGCGTCGTTTGAGGTGAAGCTCGGCGGTGAGCTCGCGGCGGTGCTCAGAACACGGACAACGGTGTGCTAGGGAGGTGGAGACGGCTGATTCTAGTGATGGGCTGACCATGATTGGGTTTGATGGCGGCCGGCGGCGAAGCCTCTGCAAAAGCGAGAAACAACGAGAATTACTTCAGAGCATCTAAAGAAAGGAACTTGCCCAAATTGCCATCATTTTTCCAAACCCATTTCATCAATTTCACCAATTTCGTCAATTTCTATGCCTCATTTCGCCTTCCCCTGCTTCGCAGCACTACCACCACCGTAAGCGTGGTCCAAAATCATCGCCTGGTCTAACTCTAAGCAAGACCCAGATTGATTCTGCACTTGATTATCTTGTTGATTGGGTCTATCAGTCATGTGGGTCAGTCTCACTTTCAAGTCTCGACCACCCAAAGTTCAAAGCTTTCCTTAACCAGGTTGGTTTGCCGGCAATGTCGCGAAGAGAGCTCACCGGAGCTAGATTAGACGCCAAATTTGAGGAAGCCAAAGCAGAATCAGAAGCCAGAATTCGCCATGTTCTTTCAAATTGCCTCCGATGGTTGGAAATCAAAGAATTGTGGATATATATATATATATATATGCGTGTATGCATGAAGGGCATTATTGTCCGAAAAAATCAGTTTACTGTCGTGTGAATTTCACGCGCTCATTTTTGGAAGCAGGACTGATCTGTAACAAATTTGTATACTTCAGGAGGTTTTCTACAATTTTGATAGTTTACGGGAGTTAGTTGCAAGTTTTTCAGTAGTCCTGAAGAATTTTTTACATTTAACCCTTGTTTTTCATTAAAAGATGGAGAGATAGGTGATAATATGATAACTTAGTAATTAAAATTGAAGTATGATGAACTACACGAAAATAATTTTTAAGAGTATAAAGTTAAAGTATTTAAAATGTAATCTTTTATCGCTCAAACTCGTTGTATCAAATTAAATAATTCTATAATATAAACAAACTTAATTCATGACAGTGTTGCTACAGACCCGTCTAGTAGAGTTGTAGACGCGGCTGATGAATAATGTTATTTATTTATTTATTTTTGTTTTTGTCCTTTGGTCAAAAACATCACATCTACTTACCACAACTCCACAGAACCGTGTCATATGAATAAATAAAGTTTGGGTTGGCATTTACTTGGCATAGAATATGCACTTTTTACAGCTAAACAGACCACTTTTCTGAACCCACCCCCAACCAATACCCATATCTGTGTCCAGCTCAAATCCTCCACCGCGCAGCACCACAACTTGGTATGGGTTAGAACCTGCCTCTGCCTTTCCCTCTCTCTTCATCTTTTCCCATTTCGTTCCTCCCTATAAATAAACCCACCCACACATCCAATTCTCATCATCATCCCACAACCATTTCTTTCTTACCAAACACTACACTTCTCATTAACATTCACATCAAACGGTCTTCATATGCTAAAAACCAATTACCAAACACCAATGGCCTTTTCTTCTTCAACTTCAGTGTTATTATTGGTGCTCATATCTGCTATGCTGAGCTCTTTCATTTTTCCATCTGCTGCTAACTTATACCAACACATTGATCTCACTTGGGGCGATGGCCGTGCTAAGATACTCAACAACGGCGACCTTCTTACCCTCTCCCTCGATAAGGCCTCTGGCTCTGGCTTCCAGTCTAAGAATGAATATCTATTCGGAAAGATTGATATGCAGCTCAAGCTTGTCCCTGGAAACTCTGCTGGCACTGTCACCGCCTACTACGTAAGTTCCCTTCACACGACACAATTGTTTACATGTCAAATGGTAAATGGTCCCGAGACCATGTAATAACTTCTCCTTATGAGTAATGTCTAATCCTCATGTTTGTGTGTGTCCCATTGCAGTTGTCATCACAAGGCCCAACCCATGATGAGATAGACTTCGAGTTCTTGGGGAACTTGAGTGGCGACCCTTACATTCTTCACACCAATGTGTTCAGCCAAGGCAAGGGCAACAGAGAGCAGCAATTCTACCTTTGGTTCGACCCAACTGCCGATTTCCACACCTATTCCATCCTCTGGAACCCCCAACGGATTATGTAAGTATACTTGTTATATATACGTACTAAAAGCTTACTGAATTTATACATGTATGACTTTTTTTCTAGCTCAAATTTTCTCTCCATATTTCAGATTTTCAGTGGACGGTACACCCATTAGAGAGTTCAAGAACTCGGAGTCAATTGGTGTACCATACCCGAAGAACCAACCAATGAGGATATACTCGAGTCTGTGGAACGCGGACGACTGGGCCACAAGGGGTGGGCTGGTGAAGACTGACTGGACTCAAGCACCCTTCACAGCTTCATACAGGAACTTCAATGCCCATGCTTGCACCTGGACTTCTGGTGCATCTTCTTGCACTTCGAATTCTCCGTCTAGCAGCAGTGCATGGCTAACAGAAGAGTTGGACTCCACAAGCCAGGGTAGGCTGAAATGGGTGCAAAAGAATTACATGATATACAATTACTGCGCGGACACAAATCGATTTCCTCAAGGCCTTCCTCCAGAATGTGCAAGCACTTAATTAAGGAGACTGCATATATTGTTTTTCCCATGGCTATATAGCCTTCTTATTCTTGTTTATAGGATATACAATTCGATTCTTTTATTCTTTGTAATCAAATATTGTTTTTGCTCAATAAAGGCAGGCATAATTATCTCTTCGTATAAAATGTTTTTTTTTTTTTTTTTTTTTTTTTGGGGGGAAAGGTATCTCTCCATGTAAAATGTTACATGAGTAACAGGGGTATACAATTTATTGTCCAATTCAGAATGGGATTGATTCATTACAAGTATGGTATTTAATTGTAACTAGGATTGAAGCATACTGAACTAATTAGAGGTATATTAATAGCGGTTCATATAAGTGAGGGGATTTAAATAATTAAAAGGCATTCTAGGCTAGTGGTGTTTTCTTTATCTCTTAAAAAGGAAGTGTGTGTTTGTTCAAATGTGAAGTTTATTACCAATAATATATATTATTTTTTGTCGTCCAAATTTAAACTCCTTGTCATGAAGTTTTAAAAACATGTATATTGGTATATTTGAAAAGTCATTTCCTATCACAATAATAAAAAAATTTACTGTAAGAATTACAGTCTTATAAAATCAGATTATCAAAAAGAGAGATTTTAATTAACCTATCGGAAAAAAAAAAAAAAAGAAGTTAATTAGTAAAGTCTTTTTATAGTTTGGAGGATTGAACTACACATTTCTCATCCGAATAAAATATAAATAAAAAAACCATACGTTTTGTGAGCCATCAACATGGAATCAAGAATGAAAGAAGTCAAAGTAAGTTCCAAGGTTTTACCCAAATTCTGACATCACTGTCAAAAAATTGAAAAGACTTCTAGCTAGTTCTAGAATTTAGATGAAGAGTCTAGAATTTAAAAGAACGAACCTCAATGACTTTTAGGACTTTCGTGTTGCTTGGGTTGGATGCAAACGTATTAATTTGTACCAAATAACAAATTCATATAAAAATAATTATAGACTATCGTTAATCACAAAAACAATATTTATGTTGCCTTCGACAATATGGAATTAGTGTTTTGAACTTAAAATTGAAAGAATTTTAATTTAAAATTTTATTCAATTTTAAATCTAAATCAGGATTCTCTGATGCTTCCAAATATAGCATTTCTATTTATGAATTATAAGATTTAAGCACAAGACAAGTATTAAACTGTAAGACCCTAATTTACTATATCTTGCTATTAATGTGATCAAGCAAGGCAAGGCAGAATCGCTAGATTTTTTATTTTTATTTTTTAAAATGTAAGTGGTAATTGTATGTAGTATGTACAAAGCCCGAGGATGGGCCCTAGGAAGAGGAGCACCAGGCAACAGGCCCAAGGTGGATGAAGTCCAAGTGCAAAGGCACTAGGCCTTAACTCATGGAAGCCCCTAATTCCAAATCCAACTTCCGGTGAAAAAACTCATCCTGATAAATCATTTTCTTTTTAAAACTAACTTGATTTATCATTGGTGGTAGTCTTAAAAAAGAATGAATCCAATTTATTTGAATTTCAAAGTCATCTTTTTTGTCCAACTCATTTTTAGGACAAAATTTCTAACATAATAACCATACTTTAATCTTAGAGATCTCATTCCTATAGGGCTGCTATCCACAAAATTTGTAGCATAAAAACCATACTTCAATCTTACTTGTGAGGCATGCCATGACGACCGTGAGTGGACAATTCTATAACAAATTTCCCATCAAAAGTGTCTTATAAATACTTGCTCCAACTTCATTCATTTTCATATAACATAAGCAATCTCAAATACCACAACCCATTTGCAAACAACCCACTTCTTCTTCTTCAATCTTCAATCTTTGTTTGAGTCATAAAAATGGCTGACGAATTGATTCTGTTGGAGTTCTGGCCCAGCCCTTTTGCACAGAGGGTGAAAATTGCCTTGGCTGAGAAAGGCATAGACTATGAGTCCAAAGAAGAGAACTTGTTGATCAATGGGAAGAGTCCTCTACTTCTAAAGATGAACCCTGTTAATAAGCAAATCCCAGTTTTGATCCATAATGGGAAACCGATATGCGAGTCCCTCAACATAGTTCAATACATTGATGAGCTCTGGAATGATCAATCTCCTTTCTTGCCTCGCGATCCTTACAAGCGCGCCCAAGCAAGGTTCTGGGCTGACTACATTGACAAGAAGGTCAGTTCAACTATTAGCCACTATGAACATGTATTGTTGTAGTATCTTGTAAACTTGATTAATCTTATCAGTGTCATAGCAAATTTAAGTCTAAAAATCCTTTATTTGCAGATATTTAGCACTGGAAGGAAGTTAGGTATGAGCAAAGGTGAAACCCAAGAAGAAGCAAAGAAGGAACTCTTAGAGTGTTACAAACTATTGGAAGCAGAGCTAGGAGAGAAGACTTATTTTGGGGGAGAGACCTTTGGTTTTGTGGACATTGCTCTCATACCCTTTTACGCTTGGACTTACATCTACAAGAAACTTGGCAACCTTAACATGGAGGAAGAGTGCCCTCAAATTGTGGCATGGGGTAAGAGGTGCATGGAGAGGGAGACTGTGTCCAACACTCTTCCAGACCCGTACAAGCTCTATGACTTCTTCCTGGAGCTCGCAAAGAAGCTTGGTGGTCAGTAAAATTCCGGAAGATCAAGAACTGCTTTATGAAGACATAATAAGAGATAGATATAAAACTTATCTCATACAGTTAATTACCATTTGTATTTCTCTCTCTCACTTCTATTCTCTCTCTCTTTTTTGGACTTTAGTTTTGTTGAGATTTGTGTTGTTTTTGTTACATTGACAATAAAGAATGGACTTCATATGTTCTGAATTGCAAAAATAAGAAGAAAACACAAGTGAGATGTTCACTTTTTCCATGCTTAATTGAAACAAATTTTCACCATCAATTTGAGATTTTTTTTTTCAGTTCAAGTCCTTAAACTTATCTTTCAATTCAGTATCTCCACACTAAGTTTGTTCAAGATTTTGTTTTCGTGGATCACTTTCTAATATTTATGTAACCTCCACTCCAAACATGCATGGCCAACCTATACAGACTGCATTTTGCGTTTTCATATGTGCATTTTATTTCTTCTCGAACTAAAATGACAAGGTAATTAATAGTCAAATATTGATGTTGCTCGATAAAGTCAGGCATAATTATCTCCATGTAAATTTTTTTTTTTTTTTTGGGAAAGGTATCTCCATGTAAAATGTTACATGGGTAATAGGGGTATATAATTTATTGTCCAATTCAGAATGGGATTGATTCATTACAAGTATTTAATTGCAACTAGGATCGAATCATAATGAACTAATTAGAGGTATATTAATAGAGGTTCAAATGATCTTTCCATAATCTACTCATGTAACCCAGGTAACCAATACAAGAAGGTGAGGGTTTAAATAATCCCGAGGCTTTGTAACCTAGTAGTGCATTCTTTTTTTTGGTAAAGTGGAAGTTGAGTGTTGGAGTGTGAAGTTTCTCGCCAATAATCTAACAAAAAAAAAATTTTGGCGGTCTCAAAATACTTCTCCTAATTCAAAATCTAATTTATTATTTTTTTAATATTCTTAATTTAACCTCATTGCCTTAAAGTTATAAAAATATGTGAATTTGTATATTTAAAAATTCATTCCCAACCACTATAATAAAAAATAGGGTGAATTATATTAAACTCTCATTTTCTATTTGCGTTTTGCACTAAACTCCTTTTTCATATCCGACTAAGATTGATAATGGAGTAAATACATATTGGTGTGTCGGGTGTACGGTACACCGGGTATACAACACACATTCGCACGTGTACAATACGTATAACTCAAATGAGCCAGTACACGTTTGTATAGAGGCGTATTAACTTGTGTAATTATTTAAAATTGTATAAGAGAGGTAAATATTCTAGATATTTTTTAGAATATTCTAGAACGTAATTAAATAGCCATACACTTGTGGTATATATTTTGATCATTCATTATGAGGTAATTGGCCCATAAATAGGATGGGAGCTCATGAAATAGACTTATAAAGGTTTTTTTAATAAAAAAAAAAAAATTTGTTCCACTATTAAATTTATGTTGTATGATTTATGGTGAGTTTTGAGTGGTGAATTGGGATTGATTTTGATTATGAAAATTGTGTATATTACCTATATTGATATTTAAGTATGTTTCTTAATTGTATAGGTGTCAGACGTTAAATAGGTATTTTTAGAGTGAAATAAATCGCTGAAGTTTTAATTCAGAGAGTGCAAGTCTAAAGACGAAACAAAAATTAGGCAAAGCAGTCACAGGCACTAAAGATAAAGTGGATGTGATATTGTTGTATTATGAAATATCAAGGGGAGACTTGAAATATGAATTAATTAATGAAAAATGATAAGTCTTCCGACATTAATTGTCGACTATTTTTACGAATACAACGTGGTTGGATTCTATTAGAACTCTTTAAAAAATTCTTGTAAACATCTCTTTCTCTTCGACTCATTTCCAACCATTATATTCGGAGGAGTAATCAGCAATTGAAGTCGGAAAATATATCACTTCTCTTAATTAATATATAAATGTTTAGTTGGTTATATTTTGGAGAACATGTTTAGTTGAATTTTTTATTTTGGAATGATTAATATTATTTTACATTTAATAAATTATTAAAAAGAGTCCTTTTTATGTTTTGTTTCAAAGCTTTTGTTCAAGCCTCACTAGGCCCATTGAGCTCACATTTTTTATAAAAACTTGTTAGGTTTTAGCGTGGATGAACCAAACGTGGTACAACGACAAGGGAGCATGATGAGCATGGTTGTGGGGATGTGTTGTTTATAGGATAATTATTCATATTCTATTTTGTACTAAACATTGTTCAGCTGGAGTTTGGAAACATGTACCATATAAGTATACAACTGTATATCATGTGTTGTAGAAATGTTGACAGCGAGGAGATCTTTGATTTTCTGGGTGGAATTAGAAACAAAAATAAATAGAAACATAGTTTCAATAAAGGGAACTCAAGGACTATATTCTTCTCCAATTTGAGTTTTGCTCACATCTCCTATGAATTTAAGAACATATTCGAAGAAATTCTGACCACCAGTCGGAATGGTTTGTGGGTTTCGAACAGATGTGGTGGCTGAACCTAATAAGATAGTCATTACAACCCATAAAGTAATATGTAATTGACTGGAAAGCATTTTACGAATTTCAAGCCTTGCCAAGACTCTTCCGGATCGACCATGTGGCAACCTTAGCGTGGGAGGTAGATCGAGTTCCCTAAAATTGTGGCTTGGGCTTAGAGGTGCATGGAGAAGGAGAGTGCGTCTAAGACTCTTCCGGAATTCTCTCATTTCTA